TTTTTTCTTTTTTATTAAATTTATTGAGGTGACATTGGTTAATAAGATTATATAGGTTTCAAGTACATGTTTTTTATTGTTGACACTATTGCAGATGTCCTCCATTCCCCCCTTGCCCCTCTTCGTCTGGTCCCCCCGCCCTGCCTTCACCACGTTGCTGTCTGTGTCCGTGGGAAGTGTGCGTGTCTACGATCTGCATACTGCATCGTGTGCCCGCCACCCAACGTCCAACCATCTTCTGTCACCATATATTGGACGCCTTTACGCTTCACTGCCCCCTTCCCGCTTCCCTCTGGTAACCACCACACTGTTGTCTAAGTCTGTGAGTTTTTGATTGCTTTCTTGTTTGTTCATTTGTTACTTTCAGTTTTCTATCCCACATATGAGTGAAATCATATGATTCTTAACATTTTCTGACTGGTTTCCCTTAGGATAATATTCTCAGGTCTACTCATGTTGCCACAAGATGTATGAACCCCGGAAAGTCAGGTACATAGCATGCTTACAGCCTAAGAGTCTGTGGATTTTAGGGGTCAGTGCATTTTTTACCTTTGTAATGATGAAGTGAATAAAAAGAACACCATGTCTCTTCCCTAAACCCTCTCCAAAAGATAAAACCAAACAGCAATTCCACAGAGGTAGCTACCCTTGTTAAAAATTCGGCACATAGGATTCCTGACTGTTTTTAATGCTTCTACAAACATTGGAGCAAGCACTATTCCCCCCCACCCTCCCTGTTAGTTATTTTTGTTTTATTTTAAAAGATTCATAAAGGAATCAAACATTCTCAGCAACTTGCTTTCTTTTCCTTCATCTGGGGACACCAACATGTCCAGATTTACCTCATTCCTTTCAGGGCTATTATATGGATAATCTCATAATTTTATTCTCCCCTTCTCCTGAGAGACACTTAAGGTTGTTGCTGTTATAAACTGTGTATTGCATATCTCTGTACCTGTACGTGCATACGTATGTAAAACCATATCATTAGAATGGGCGGTGGCGCCAATGGGTGTGCACATTTAACATGGTTCTTCGAAGATATTGTTTACTGGTTTGTACTCTTGACTTTTCTTCTGTCTGGCTTAAAGGTTTACTTTCAAAACACTTTGTATTAGAGTGAAGAAAGCACATCGAAGAGTTTTCTTTGTAAATCTTGTCATGAATTTAAAATTTTTTCCAGATAATCTTTTTTACTCTAATTGTTTGTGTGTGTTTCCTTGTTATAGCCACAGCGTTCTGGTTCCTACAGCCACTTACCGGTTCTGCTTCGCAGGGTCTGCTGCTGGGGTGCGGGTGACTTGCATGCTCAGCCTCATCTGCCACCTGGACTGTAGGACCCTGGGCCACTCCCACCTGTGTTGTCACCCTGTGAGAATGAATGGCCAGAAGCATCCCTTCTGTGGTGAACACAGCAACCCTAGCAGGCTCTCCGCTGCTTCCCCAACACCCTGACAGCTGTCAAGAGCTCATCTGTTTTGTTCATACATTAGAGGGCTTGACACGCCTTCTGACCGCCCTGCGGGAGGAAGCGGGACCGAGAAGCCTGGTGGTTTTTCTGCGATGCCCTGGCGACCATTTCGGAGATTCTCAGCTCTTGTTCTTACAGGAATGAGAGGAAAACGCTGTTGCTGGAAGCATTTGAGATCTTTTTTTCAAAATTTGTTTAGTTGTAATGTGGTAATACTCCACGGGAATAAACTCTGGCTGACCTGCTCAAAGGATATAAGCTTGAAAACACTGAGGGTTTTGATTTGCTCAAAGGGGGCGTTTACCCTTTTTGAAGCACAAATCCAGTGGGAAAACAGGTTTTCTGGTGCTTGCTATGTTGAAGTGCAAGGAGCAAGTCTTTCAAGTCGAGTTCCCATCTCAAAACTCATTACTTTTGAGAGAATGGCTGACGATGAGCCAGATACGTGTTTATTGATTACTGATAAAGAAATGACAAAAGAAGAAAAAAAAAAGCCAAAGAAGTGCATCCACAGTGTACGAAACAGGTTATAAAAAGTGTTTATTCTCTCTCTCTTTTTTTTTTTTTAAGAATACCCTTGTGCATATATAGACATACAGAAAAGAGAAAAAGGACTTCAAATGTTAACGACCCGTGGGTTAGGTTTTTTGTGATTTGGGGTGACCTTAATGTGTTGATAACTCTCCGAGGCCTGGGGGCCTTGGGCAATGGTGTGAGTTATTTAGATTGCTGGGGATAGGAGAAAAGGAAAACAAACCCCTTTTCTAGCATGGCAAGAAGTTAATTATCCATCCTCAAGAACACACGAGATTTTGTAAAAAGCATATCTAAGTGAAACGCAGAATGGTAAAAATGTCTGAGTGTGGCTAGGAATGAAGTCCCATTTTTGTGTGGCAGTTGGTGTGTCATAGACTCTGAATGCTCCCTCGAGACATCACCCGTGGAGTCACCGCTTGGGTACGCTTGCTAGATCCGAGCTATGCGTTTACTAAAAGAGGCTCTGAAATCAATTTTAACACTGTCACCACCATAAATTGCCTGCCACCAAAGTCAGCTCATGAAATGCCTGAAGTAGGGAGAGTTGCCCTGTGGTGGCGGGGAATGACTAATCCAAAATTTACTTATTACACTTCAGCTATAAGGAGGGCGAGCAGGTGATCTCAACCTTTAAGACTCATTTTAGTTACATCATCTGATATACTTCATTATACACATAGATCATTTCTAAACGTAGATGAAAGTCTGTGCCTGTGTCCTGTAAGGTCCTTCACGTTTAAAGATACTCAGTTTGACTCTGGCTGCAGATCTCTCAAATTTGATAATTCAAAGAATTATGAAAAGTCTTTCAAGAATTATAGAAACTCTGTAAAACTGTAAACTCTGTAAAGCTTCAGAGTTCTCTTTCCTTAACCAAGGGGGCAACTGATCAACATTTATTGCATGTTTCCTGTTTAGTTGCCATATTATGGCCTATAGGTCAACATTTTTTAGGTTTAAGGTTCATTGGGTTGCCATGTAACCTACAATAATATGTTTCTTGTTTTCCTCCTCTGGCTCTTCACATTATTAATCAAATATAAGTATAACCTGTGTGCCTAACTAGTGATATTCAGTTAAAATACTGTTAATATCTGACAGTTTTGCTGATGAGCATTGTGGAGACTCCTCCCCGCCTTTGCTTTTGTCGTTGGGTTTCATTTAAAAGTCCCATCTTTCATATTTTGGTAAGAGAAGACTTTAAGTGGAAATGTGATCTGAGCATTCTGTCTAATAAATGGACTCAGCATGGGCCTGTTGAAGCCAACCATTCCATCGGCCGTGTAAGTATTAAAGTACAGCGGTATCATTTCAGGAGGCAGCTCGTGCGGTTGAAGGGCAGCTTTGCTGGGTGTAGGAAACAGCCAGGTGAAACCAATTTAGCACAGTCGCAGCCCTCTGGGTTGACTGTCTTGGACCCGCGGGCCCCTCCAGGCTGTGATGGAAGGCAGTGATTCGGCCAGCGTGCTCTGCTGGCCTCTCGGCGCCGTGGAATGATGCCAAATGGAGTGTTAAGCTTTGAGATTTCTTTGGAGTAGCAGGTCTGGGTACTGTGGAATACTCTTTGAGGCATTTCATCATTGTGCATAGTAACAGGTCCTTCAACAACTCGTTGTGTTGTGGAAAAACCCTGGAAGTTGTCAGCGGTGAGTCCTGGCCTTCAGGCCGTAGCCACCTCCATTCCTGAGCTGCGGGGCCTTGTCCAGCACACCTGGTGCCCTGCCGTCACTTCACGTCTCAGTGTGCTCATCGGTAAAATGGAAACAACGGCACCTGCTAAGTTGGTTTTAAGACAAATGAGAAAAGCATATGCACTGTAAAACACTGATGAAATCTTTAGGTTCCTACAGGTTAGTGTGCTATTTGTATTCGGCTAACAACTTTTTACCCATATTCTCAGGATTTAAAAAATGACCTAAGGGCATATCTTTATGTCTACTGTTTTTGCAGCTGGTGACGATTGCACAAGTTATCCTATAGGGAAGATTGCAAATGACTATTTTAGTAATATATTTTTTAAAGATTATTTTTAATTTATTTTCTTAGAGAGGGGAAGGGAGGGAGAGAGGGAGAGAAACATCAGTGTGTGGTTTCCTCTCATGCGCCCCCTACTGGAGACCTGGCCCACAGCCCAGGCCTGTGCCCTGACTGGGAGTCGAACCGGTGACCCTTTGATTCTCAGGCTGGCACTCAACCACTGAGCCACACCATCCAGGGCTATTTCAGTAATATTTTTTAAGGAAAAACAATGACTGTAAAAACATGCATTACATATTTCTTCTTTGTTCACTCTGGATAGACTGGTCTTTGAACCATGGGGTCTTTCAAGTTGCCCCTCTTCTCTGCGCCCCCTTTGCCTTTTTTTTCAAACTCCCCCTGCTTGGGAACTTAGATTTGGTTTTACCTTTACTTCCCCTGAGAAGCACCCCCTCCCCCACACCCAGGCTAGGTTAGGGCCCTCTGTTTATTGTCATTTGTTCTATGTATTCCTCCTTCATGACTGTTTATTTTTTTAACTGTTTGCCCTGTATCTTGAGAAGGGCATGTTGTCATTTATGCATGTTCTAGTCAAATACATATAACTTCTAATCACAAGGAAACATTATTTTAAAGTGAAAACATGTTTTTAGAAGTCTAGCTTCCATGGTCATTTGTAAGCTCAATGTGGTGGGGGCCACACCTGATGTGGTCATTGTTTGTTGTATCTCAGATAAGCCTGGAGTGGCGGGATGTGTAAATCACACATGTGTTCAGAGGAATTAATGAATGGTGTGTTCATTTATATGGATACAAAGCCATCTCTGCTTGACACTAGCTCCTGGTGCCGTTTATAAGGTAGCTGGATCATTCAGATGAATAAAAGGCTTAAATCTTCATCGTCTTTGATCCTCCATTTCTCTGTATTTCTCCTCTAAATGAGCTATTTTTCTTGATGTTACCGTATTTCTAACTTGGTTGTGAAGACTGAAGTTGAGTTTTCTCTTCCCCACAGCTCCTACAGAAGAATGGTCAGCTGTCCACCGTCAACGGCTTAGCTGAGCCAGGAGAGCTCAGCCTGCAGGAGGGAGCCCTGAATGGCCAGGAGGAGGAAATCATTGTTGCAGAGGGTAAGCCACCTTTCCAGGCTCTGGGCCAGACCAGGGGCTGGAGGGCAAACAGCACCTGTGGTGAATCTGAGGGGAATAGTACACACAGGTCTGGGCAGAATTATATATACTGTCATCTTCCCTGGGCTGGATGATGTTGACAACGCATGCAGTGAATCAGTTACAAAAGGAAGCATGGATCCGACCATTTGTGTAGGCCCTGCGTTTCAGTTAGGAAGTTATACTAGTCCTTGGGTATAGGAAGTGATATCATGTTTCCTCTGTCTTAGACATCTTTATCTAGAACTTAATGTTGTTTTTTTGTTTTCTTTTTTTCACTGTTGCCTTGTCCCAACTAAATATCTGGTGTCTACTCTGAAATCTTATTGGAAACACTGGAGTCGTGGTTGCTTTAAGAGTCAGTATCTGTCACTCTTAAGAATAGCCTGTCACATGTGCACAGATTTTCCTGGTGGTGTGCACTTCAGGGTACACAGCTCTCCTTGCCTCTAGGATATGCTGCATGTTTGTAGCTCTTGAGCCTTGAGATCCTAGAGGGGTGGTTATTGGAAGGTGCACCTTTCACCACACGGTACCAGTGTTTTGATTTTAGCCCATTTGGAGTGGCGAGAACCACACCTTAGGGGCAGAATCAAGCATGTTGACCAGTAGGTCTCATGTGAAGGGCCACATGTTGAAGAAGAACCTTCTATTCTTGAGGTCTACTTTCATCATTCTATTTAATCATAAATGAAGGAATAATTTAACAGCCACTATTGGAGATATATAAATTGATGATTTGGCATACACTAAACTGACTCTCATGTGTAATGTGGCCAAGACAACTGAATGGGAAAGTCCCTTGAAAGGAGACCGGCCATTGCCTTGGTTAGATGAGATTCTTTCAATACGTAGAACTGGTTTTTGCCCAACATCCCCATGAAACTGCTTTAAGCTGTAGGGGTGGGAAATTTTTCCTTTCTTCTAGCTTCTTTGGCTGGTCAAACAAAATGACATGATAGATTCACAGGAGAAAAACAAATTTAATAATGGACATACAGGAGAAGGGGCATAAAGACAGGAGACAAATGGCAGCCAGGGAATTGAAGCTTATCTAACCAACCTCCTGAGCTAAGGAAAGGGACCGGAGTCTGGAGATACAGAGGTGGAGAAGGCCATTCGCAGGAAGGCAGAGGGATCTTTGGAAAGCAAAGGTTACTCTGCTCTTTAATTTAGGTAAGTTTCTTAGGTAAAAAGGAATCTCTGCTAATGGCTCTCTAATTGGTACAGGCCCCTTCACAATGTAAATTTAGACAGTCGAGGGTGGAGATAAAGACTTTTTCCTGACTCTATGGGGTTTACATTGCCTTTAGCTCAAAATAATCCTCATGCCAAAGTGGCCTATTAGGAGACTTGCTTTGAAGACCTTCAACACTGATCTTTATATGGCACCATGGGTACAATATAAAGTTAGAAATGTATACAGTTTCACAAAAGGATTTGCATAACCTAGTGTGAGAGTTTCAGATAATTTCCATCAAAATAATTGCAACAGCCCAACTGAAATAACAGAGTCCCACACGTTGTCCTTCTTGTGGTAACTTTTGAATCAAATCAAGCCACAGCAGCTTTAGAGTCTTCCGTGGCCAAGCCAGGGTGCTGGGTGCTTCGGGGGAAGATGAAGGCAACTAAGCGATGGGCCACCGCTTACAGTGCTTGTCAGCAGGGGAGGCAAGGAGCCAGTGTATGGAAGGGTACATCAGATGAGAAATAAGGTTAAGACGTGGTGGTGATCTAACGAATTTTGCAAGACGTAAGAGGTGCTCCAAGTGGAGGTGGAGCCATCTTTTGAGGTCAGAGGGTAGGGTAAGATCTGGGGGCTGAGGCGAGGTTCAGTTTAGATTTATGGAGAGAAGGGATGCTGCCAAAGCGAGCAGAATAATAACAGCCAACACTTCACAAGTTTTTATTAGGGTCTTGGAACTGTGCCTTTTGTGCATTATGGCCCTAAAAAGTTACAGCATCCCTATGAGGTAGGTTGATAACATTCTTAAGATTCAGACCCACGTTGGCACCCCGCCAAGGGTGCGCGCGTGCTCACCGTGCTCTTGCTGTGCGGGGCATGTCTACAAGACTCATCTGTTGGAACCGTGGGCTCAGCACAGGGTGGAATGGAAACCCAGAAGGGAGAGCAGCTGGGCTGAGAGCAGCAGATTGGGCCCCGAAAGCGGCGTGGTGTTTAGAAAGTATTTAGTAGGCCATGTGGGACCGCCGAAACGGGCCACCGAGGCAGCGCCGAGTCGGGCTTCTCATCTGACGCTGTTGTGCAGGACAGATGAGAGAAGGGACACAGGAGCACATGCCCACATTTTCCTATAATCCTTTCTATCTGGCACATGTCTGCTGGGGTCTGCTGGCTGTTTTCCTTTAGTCCAGTTACAATGTCATTCACACTTCAGCCATGTGGGCCAACGCTATTGTTATAGAAAGTGACCTGTCCCTACCCTATGATTATTCCATTTTCTCCTTAAACCCACCCAGGCCGCGGACCCTGGCCTTGGGGGTCTGAGCAAATAGCAAATGCCTCTTGCAGGAAGAGTGGCAGCCATATCCTTTGTTCTTCAGAAGACCTTGAAACGGCCTTGTCATCTAGGGGCAAACTACCCCCCCTCCCCACCCCCATGCACACCCAGAGTGGCCGAGGCCACCCCCAGGGGCGTTTCGCTCGCTCTGCCTTTGGGATGAGCTTTTACTGTTTTAGGCAGAACTGTTATTCCTTTGGGGTATTGGGTCTGCGAGGCAGCTTGGAACACTTGTGTTGTTTTTTCTCTCTCCATTTTGTCTACCTGGTAAGGTAAATACAGAGTCTTTTTTTTTTTTTTTAATATTTTATTTATTTATTTTTAGAGAGAGGGGAAGGGAAGGAGAAAGAGAGGGAAGAGAAGCATCAATGTGTGGTTGCGTCTCGAGCGTCCCCGACTGGGGGCCTGGCGCACAACCCAGGCTTATCTGGGAACCAAACTGGAGACCCTTTGGTTTACAGGCCAGCACTCAATCCACTGAGCCACGCCAGCCAGGGCCAGAGACTTTATGATAAATTATTAAATAATATTTTTTGTGTTTTTTTCCCATGTCATCAGTGGTAGCCTATGGTTAGATTTTATGGTTATTTCATAAAAAACAATTAAAGAAATCTGTTCTACATGTAAATGAAGGCATCATTTGTTATGTAATTGAGAATTAATTGAGAATTTGGGGGACCTTGGTTTCTATTGCCATCCACTTCAGGAAGAGCAGATGTGACTTAGCGCCGTCCCTGGGGGCCCTGGCCAGCAGTGGGGCTTGGTCCTGCCGTAAGTGGGTCAGGCGTTGCACAAGGGGCATTCCTGCCAGAGCATGTTTAATCTACGGTGACAGACAGTATTTAGACAAAGCAGTAAGTGAATAAATCTTCGCACCTGTGTTGCTGGTGGGACTGAGGCTGTTCCACGGGAGCACAAGGAAAGCGTTCCAAGGACGCAGGCATAGCAGGTTGTGGTGTGGCACAATGGCTAATTTGGGAAGAAGGCTGCCCCTGGGTTTCCAGTGTTCCCTCTCTGCCTGTCCCACCACGGAAAAAGTCCAGCTGTTTCTCAGCAAGGCCGAAACACAGGCCAGTGTCCCGAGCTTCTGCTTCATATTAAAACTTAGTCTTTTGGAGTCCGGGCCCAAGTAGCTGCTTGACCCACATGGTCACATGCTCCTGAGTGAGAGAGGATGTACAAATGCATGGGGCCAGTGAATTACCAGGTGGGGGAGGGGAGAGCCAGGGAGAGGGGGTGAGCGTGCTTCTTTGTTCCTCTGGGATTATATTGGATTTGGGACAGACCAGGTGCTTTTTCAAAAGAACCAATCAATTTCCTGAGCTTTTGCAGGCTTTTGATAGGTCCACACCCCCTAGTTAGACTGACACGCCTCTTTGGTCAAGCCCCTCCCCCTGTGCCCCCTGTGCCCCCCTAACAGTCCAGTCTGGAAGGGCGAGAGGGAGGAGTGTTGATCCCCTTGGGGAGCCATGCGGTGATGCCCTGGGGCGGGAAGCTGCAGCTTCCTGGTGAAACTAACAAGCTTGTGCTCCCCAGTTGATTAAGCTCAATGTCTAATTCTCTTTGCTCCACTTTCTTATTAATAATTAGCTACCTACAGTAACACCTTGCCTTGCTTGCCCTCTTTCTGAGACCAGAAATACTGGTAATTCAGAACCAGTCCTCTTCCTATAATGAAAATGGGATCCTGTTTCCTTGTAAACTTTTTTTAAATGATAGAAAAAAGGAACAGCCTACTACATGTTTTCTAAACTGTGTAGCAGGGTTAGATATATATGTTTTGGAGGGAGCTTGAAGATTATTTAATTTCAAGGGCCATCTTTTAGAGAGTATACAATAAGAAATATTTATTAAAATGAAAAAAATTCACAACAAATTACTTTAGCCTGGGAGACTTAGTCCCTTCTGTTTTCTTTTTAAGTGATTTATCATTTATCAAAACTACTTACATAGAAATGCAGCCCTTTCCTGACGAGAAAGTTCAGTCACAGCATGTCACTCCCAAAATTCACGGGGGCTGCATAAGTGCTATTAGTTTTGTGGAAAATCTGCTTCTGCTGAAGAGATTAAAAAAAAAAAAAATCTCTCAACCGAAATTGTCATTTGTTCTATAGTCTTTGGCGTATATGGTTTTCCATGAGTGAGTTAAAGGCCCAAAAAAGATTTTTAAAACATTGTATCTTGGTCTGGGTCCAATTTTAGTTTTAAAACTTTTGTAGGTATTTGTTTGTGTGAACAAATGAACAATGGTGTCTTCTTGGTTTTGACCTTTTTTGTTCACGTGTGCTTTGTATGATCGGCATACCCAGAGTGAGGACATTTCCACCAGGCGCTGGATGCTCTGCCAGTAGCATTTGCCACTGGGGATCCACTGCCTTCAAAGTGTCAGCCACTAACCAGGTGAACAGGCTGTGTTTCGCTACTCCCAGAAGGGGAACA